CATTCGATAAGGTACCATAGATGGCAGTTTAGCACCTGGTTCCAGCTCTATAGCATGATCCACTGCCCTCCTAGGTGGGAGTTTCTTATGCTGCTCCATGGGCATAACATCCTCAGATTCTAACAATAAGTTATGGACTTCAAAAAGAATGTCAAGAGAATCAAGGGACTCACCTTCTTCCTTGCACGTCACAAGGTAGGTTTGTTCTCCTCTTTTGACCCCCTTTTGCTTACTTGCATAGCCGAGAAGACTCTAGTTAGTGTTCACCGGAATGTGCTCTACGGCATCCTTGTGCTCCTTTTCACCACTCCTGAATTGTATGCACCCATCATCTGTGAGAGAGAAAGGCAGGACTCTCTCCATGAAGTCCAGGTCGATCATCATTTTGTAATCCTTCATTGGCACAATGTTCACGTCAATCGTGCCAATCCAAGTGCCCATTTTCATCGGGACTCCTCGGGCAATGCCAAGTAGTGGCCTTGTTGGTTGGTCCACCATCTTGATCCAACCTGGTTCCTTGGCGAATTTGAGACCCAATCTTCTCGCTTCATTGCTTGACACCAAGTTTTGATTCGCGCCGCTATCTAGTAATGCTTTGATATCTACCCCCATTTACTTTGGCATCAATGTAGGTTATGGTCTTACCTAGTCGAAGTTTGGGCTCGACCTTGGCCTTGGCTACCTCAACTTTAGGCTCTTCTTGTGCCCTGGCCTTTATTGAGGAAAGCACACACAGTGACCCCAACTGTGCACCTTCACCTTGCTGAGTGATCCCCTTGTAAGAGGATATGATGGCATTTAACTTGCTACGATTCAGGCATTCCCTTACAAAGTGCGGCCCATCATACAGGCAACAATCCCTTCGTGCCTAGGGCTGTTCCTTGTTGCCCTCTCCTTGCCTTTCATTTCCCTTGAAAGGCTTCACTGCTTTGTGGGGTTTGTCTCCCCCACCCTTGCCAAAGTTATTCCCCTTCTTTACATTATCCTTCTTCGAAGACTCTTTTGAAAACTCCACCAAGGATTCGGTGACCGCAATGGCACTAGTAAGATCTTGGACAACTCGCCTTTTAAGCTCGTGTTCTGCCCATAGTTGTAATCCATCAAGAAAGTACAACAAGAGGCTCTTGTCGGGCATAAACNACACCTCGCCTTTTAAGCTCTTATTCTGCCCATCGTTGTAATCCATCAAGAACATACAACAAGCGGCTCTTGTCGGGCATATCCGGAATTTCCAACATCAATAATGAATGCTCTCTAATAAAGTCCTTGAGAGAACCCGTATGTTTAAGCCCACTAATTTCTTTATAGCCACTTCTTCCGCATTTTCGAGGTAGAACTATTTCTTTAGACCCCCCTTGAATGCATCCCAAGTGTTTATTTCTACGAGTCCACTCTCCATCTCAGCATGCCTTCGTCTCCACCATAGGGCGACATCATGCTCAAGATATAAGGTAGAGGTACTTACCTTGGTAGCGTCATCCGTTATGTGCATGGCGTCC